TCTCTCTCTCTCTCTCTCTCTCTTTCTTTCTTTCTTTCTTTCTCTCTCTCTCTCTCTCTCTCTCTCTCTCTCTCTCTCTCTCGGAAAACCCCTCTCCTCGCAATGAAGACAACATTGTCACACGGTCTATAGAAGATATATCCAAAGGACTTTTGTAGCTAGCCGATGAAAAGACATCACTCACTACAAGGTTCGAGCTTCTCGTGAGTCTTGCGCCTCACGAAAGCCTCGCAACCCCAAACTTTGATGTGATTTAATACGGGAACCTTCCCTGTCCACATCTCGTGAGGTGTTTTGGCAACCTTCTTAGATTAAGGATATGGGCGGCAGTCTCTAATGCATACCCCCAGAATGAGATAGGTAACAAAGCTCGACTCATCATAGTACAAACCATGTCCAACAAGGTTCGATTGTGCTTCTCAGCCACACCATTTAAATGCGGTGTCTTAGGTGGCGTCAATTATGAAACTATTACACATTCCTTAAGATAGTCTAGGAACTCGATACTAAGATACTCTCCTCCTCGATCGGATCGCATCATGTTTATCTTCCTGCCCAATTGATTCTCCACTTTTTGCTTAACTCTTTGAACTTTTCAAAGGTTTCTGACTTATGCTTGATTAAGTAAATATAGTCATATATGTTGTAATCATCGGTAAAAGTCACATAGAAGCGGTTTGCATCCCTTGTGGCGGTCCTGAAGGGTCCACACACATCGGTGTGTATGAAATCCAATAAACCTTTACCGCTTTCACAAGTACCAGTAAAGGGTGACTTGGTCATCTTTCCAAGCAAATAAGATTCGCAAGTGTCATCCACCTTCAAGTTGAATGACTCTAAGACTCCATCCTTTTCGAGTTGGCCTATGAGCTTCTTGTTGACATGTCCAAGGCGACAATGCCATAAGCATGCCTTGTCTAAAACATTAGATGAATCAATATTCAACTCATTATTTCCTAGGTTATCTACAGCCATCATAGTTTCACATATACCATTACAAGGTAATGCTTTAAAATAAAAAGTACCATTATAATAAGCATTTATACTACCGATTTCATTTTTGAAAGAAAAAGTAAAACATTGTTTATACAAACTACAAAAGGAAATAATATTTCTCTCCATTTCAGACGAGTAACAATAGTTATTCAATTCTATTTCTAACCCACTACTAAGCAATAAAGAATAAGCTCCAATCTTGGTGATAGGCGACATTTTCCTATTTCCCATGATTAAGTTTATCTGCCCGTGCTCCACATCCATACTTCCTTTTAGCCCTTTCACATTAGAACAAATGTGAAATCCACAACTTGTATCAAGGACCCAAGAATTAGCATGTGGTGACTTATTAGAAAGAACAGTGGAAATACCTGCGAAGGTGGGCTTTATCTTCCCATCCTTAATGTCCTGCAAGTATTTAGGGAAACTTCCTTTCCATTTCCCTTTTTCATGATAATGGAAGCACTCTGCATCCTTCGGATTGGTCAAGGGATTAACAGAACCAACTTTGGTCCCACTTAAAGAGGATCCATCAAGAGACTTTACCTTGCCACTCTTTGAAGGAGCCTTCCTCTTTTTCCCTTTCCCATGTCCTATTTCAAGAACAAGGGCAGAAGTAGTAGGAGTAGGTACAACTGACTTGCCTTTTCAGTTGCTTTCTACAGTTCTTAGAAGGCCTTAAAGCTTGCTAAGAGTGACCTCCTCTTTGTTTAGATGATATCTCATGTGGAACTGATCATAACAAGAAGGTAAAGAGTATAGAATGATATCTATGGCTAACTCTTCATCAAAATTGACATTCAATTTAAGCAAGCGGTCCACATATCCCTGCATCTTTTGCAAGTGGGTCGTGATGGACTCTCCATCCTTCATTTTGGTTGTGATCATGGAGGCAATGATCTCATATCTTTGATGCCAAGCACTTTGATGGTACCTTTCCATCAAATCTTGGTGCATTTCGAAGGGCCAGAAGTCCTCATAGGACTTTTGTAGCTCATAAGTCATGGTAGCAATCATAATACATGACACCTTTGTCGCATCCCTCTCATGAACACTCTATTCCTCGATTTGTTCATGAGTAGCAGTTTGTTCATCAATCTCCTACATCCCTTTATCGAGGACATATTCTTTATCCTCGTAGAGAAGGGCCAAACGAATGTTTCTTATCCAATCGTTAAAGTTTAACCCATCGAAGATAGTTCTCCCAACCAAGTTCATGAGGGAGAACGAGTTGGTAGAGTTGGAGCCTGAAGCATTGTTTGGGATAGACATTTGAAAAGAAAGAAGAACAAATTTTAGATTAGATTAGAGTCCTTAATATAACACCCAAATGAAATATTAAGGCTAGGACCCAACACCATACTTTACAATTCGGAAGAGGGATGTCGTAATCCAATTGCAAAATATTTGAAGGTAGGTAAATGACGACTTACCAATTTCCACCATGAAAAACGAAATTGATTATTAAGTTTTAATTGGATTGAAATTCCTAAATTCTTTTGAGATTCATTAAACTTTTCAATGGCATGTTTAATCTCGATTGTTCCCTTCAAGTTTGTGACCGGGATGCCGAGGATCACAAACAAGGTGTGAATAACCATGCAAATGTGCTTGGTACTTTTAATGTTAAAAACCACCTAATCAATGCGCCGGTTAACCATACACGCTCCATTGATCTATGATTAACACCAAACTACCCTTTGCCACTCTTGCGAGTCCCAGATTAGTGTGTTGGTAAACCACACACACTCCACTAACGACTTAGTAAGGTGCAAAGTGCAATTTCATTGAATAGCACCATTTTCACATTTTTCCTAGAGTAACTAAGATTGAGAATTTAATAAAAGTTTAGTTACTTTATAATTATCATTATACTTATAACGATAATTAATGTCCTATCCTACATGTTCGGCTAACAACCCTCCACCAGTCAAGGATGCGGTGGGTGAGAGTGAACACCCATTAAACCACCATTTTATAGACAATCACCTTATACCCCCCCCCCTTTCAGATCGGTTTCGTGAATAAGGCTACTAATGGTAAGATTATATATATATATATATATATATATATATATATATATATATATATATATATATATTATATATATTATTAAACTTATAATATTATAATAGTATAGGGGTTTAGATTTTAAACTTTTAAAATTCTAAGGTTTGGAATTAAATGTTTCATTAGTGAGACTTTACAAATTCCAAAACCTGAGGGAAAGTTTTGTAACTTTTAAAACTTTTGGGTTTCGATAACTTATGAAAACTTATGAGTTTTAATGTTCATGAATGAGACTCTTCGCATAACTTGAGAAAAAGTTACAAAAACTCATTTTAAGAACAATTTTAGATGAATTTTAACCAAGAACATTATCGTATATTTTCATTATTGATCTAATCTAACTCATAGCAAGACAATTCATATCAAATAATACAAATAATATCTTTATTATCTTAAAATTTGACAATTGTCCTTTCATTGGATGATGATCATCATTACCAAATCAGACAATACTTTTTTATGATACAAAACATTTTGTAATAATGATCCTAAACCAATTCTAGCCAAAAACTCGAAATTCTGCAACCAGCAACCTCAACTTGACGAGTGCATGAACTGGACTTGTCGAGTTGCCCTTAACTGAGTGGACTCGTCGAGTCAGCCATTGGACTCGGTGATTTCATCAATTAGAGGCCAGAAAATCGATTTATTTGAACTTCGAAAAATAGAAAGCATCAAATATAATAGAAAACAATCCTAGGCTCCGATACCACTATTGGGTTTTAAGCACTATAACAATCCTATGGTGCACATGTAACCCTAGATGCTTTGGATCTATGTTTTCTCTAATTATACATGCATTTTCATTTTTCTAAAGCATACATCCTAACTAGCATACATGGGGGATAAACAACATAAAACTCATAGTTAGATGAATACCTCGTATGTAATTTGAAGTTCTTGGCCTTTAAAAACTTTAGCACCCCAAGTATGATGCCTCTAATGTGTCACAAACACCAAATGCAAGAGGAGGCTTGAGAGAATAAGATAGTTTGCTCAAAATCGATTATCAAACTCTCATAGTGATTGGGGCAACCGATTTTGGCTCTAGGGGTGTCCTTTTATAGTGTTACAAATACTAGGGTTACATCCATGTAAACCATAATGCACCAAGACCTTTCGTATTACTTAGGCTCCATGGGTTAAACCTCGATGGACTATCCATGGAGTATCACTTTGGTTTAGCCCATCCTAAACAACCATGAATCATTGACCCAGACTATAAGAATCAGTGATTTCCTTAATCAGTCTCCGTATATTTAATTAGTATCTTTTGATCACTAAATTAATTCCAAATTAATTCTTGAGCAATACTAATTAAATAATATGATTTCTCAATTATATTATACTTACAATATATTAATAAATCACAAATAGCCTTATTCTCAAAAGTCCATCCTATTAAATTGCACTAGTGAAGGCAACCTAAAAGGACCATGCTACTATCGGGTCAAGTTCATCCCAGTTATAGTTATGGGCTTAGACACAAAATCCAACATCATATTAGATACAACAAAATCAATTGAAAAGGCTTACCAAGATTCTGATTTCAAAGAAATATTAGGTAAGCTACGTTGTGCACTAAACAAAGATTGTCATACATGACTAGACATAATCAATAACAAGAGATAGGAAAGGCCGACTTTCCTTGTCGTTCGGTACAATATTTTGACATCAAACAGTATCGACACATTCAACGCATTATCAAGAGATGCACAGAAAGTACCAGTAACAATGTTGATTGATTTCTTTCGAGTAACTATGAAAAAATGGTGGTGCCAACAAGATAATGTTAGAGGTAAGTGTTTATATTGCAATGCTTCCATGATAATTCTAATGTAAATTAATGTGCATGACAACATATACGTAAATGTTTTTTATAGTTGAAAGCAAAAAAAGATGTTACTGAGTATGCTTAGTAGTTTATCGAGAGCATGATCAACAAATCTTATGCTTTTGGGGTATACCAGATTAATCAAAGCAGATATGAGGTGGCTGGCCAAATAAAAAATGGTATAGTAAACTTGGAAAGCCATTACTGCTTGTATGGGAAACGGAAATTGGCGGGTATACCTTGTACTCATGCTATGGATGTATTCAAGAAACTGAGATATCAACACTGCAGTGCATGGGTGTCATCGTACTTTATAATGGAAAAATATATATCAACATATGTAGAGGTTGTGTTACATGTGCCAGTTCCAACTAAATATGAAGAACCGGATGAAGACATGGTTGTATTGCCACCCTTGATGGACAAACGACAAGTCGGAAGACCTAAAAACCAAAATTGTATCCCATCCAAAGGTGAAGCTCCGATTAAAAAAAATGCATTCCGTGCTAAAGGATCGGTCATGTAACATCCTAGAAATCAAGGTAAATATTTCATTTTTCAAACCAATCACAAACCATAAATGTTTACTATTGTGACATGTTCAGTAAGGGTTTGGAAGTTGGATGATGAATCTGTCCCAAAAGTATACCTGAGAACATAACACAGAAGAATCGTTAAAGGATGACCAGGTGTTCTCCCAGGATGTCTCTCTGACGATCAAGTTAGTTTTCTTAGAGAGACTTTAGGGTTAATTGTGTGAGGAAGAAGATGGATCCCTTACTTGAGCCGAAAGAGATCCTTTTATACGTGTTATTAACGGATCGTGGGGACCTTGTCTAGTGGGTGTGAGACGTGGCCTCCTCTTACTGGGAGAAATATGCACACACTAACTAACTGCCACGTGATGTCAGTTATGGGTGTCATCAAGCTCTTTGTCATGACCTAATTGGTCGTGAGTGCATGAGAAGATACAAGGAATATCCTTTCGTTGTGAAGGAAAGCAAACCGTCATCCCAGTGCTGGATTACTTGGGCTAAGACTGGGCCTCGGCAAGGTCCTGCTTGATAACGTCCCTTTTATGCTTTCCATTAAGTTTAACGTAGTCGTGTACGGTAACGTTAACAAGTCCCTTAGAAAAATAGGCTTCAGTGTTCATGACGTAGAAGAGTCGTTCTGGTCTACTCATAGACACGTGGCGAGCTGCTACTGATAGCTTATGCGGTTGATAGGGCGAAATCGCCGTTCTTCGGTGGTTTCATCATGAAAACAGTTTGCTGCTCTTTTAGTAGCATTTAAACCTCTGTTCCTCCTAGTGTTCCCTCCTTACTGCCTTCCTTTCTCTTTTTTCCTTCTTGCCCCAAAGAACCCTTTTGACCTTTTCTTTGCGTTCTTCGATGGCTACCGATCATCTCTCTGGTAGGGATCTTACTGCTGAAGAATGGGGGTCTTTTCAATTTCGATTTGGATTTCTCCCCGAACATGGGGTTCAGATTCCTCTTCCCAGTGCATTTCTCTATAGTCCTCTCGAGGGCAAGGTTGGCATTTTGATCGCCTTATTCGAGGCGGGTCTGCATTTTCCTACTATAGACTTCTTCAATCTGATTATCCATGAATATGGGTTTTCCGTGAGGGAGATGACCCTAAGTTCTATAAACAAGATAGTGGGTTTTAAACTCCTCTATCGTGCCTTAGGTCATCTTCCAACTATTTCGACATTCAAGTATTTCTTCAATGCTTCCACTCAGTCGGAGAGTCGGACCCTTTCTCGTCGACAGGGAGTCCCTACCCTTATCCATGATAAAGTCGAAGAAGAACTGGCAGGAGAAGTTTCTATAGGTGAACAACGACCTTGTGGTGCTCAAATACCCAAGGATTAAGGCGTACATTGACCACACTCCAACACTCTTTGGTGTTGACAAAGAATTGGATGATATCCTAGAGAAGATCAACATCAATGATGAGGATTGGCTCGATTGCTTCTTGGCTGCTAGCGGAATGACCGTCGTTTGGAGGGCTCGTGGGAAGATGCCCAACTTTTTCGTCGAGAAAGAAGGTATCATGTTTCTCCTTCTGTTTTCTCTTGCCCTCTTCCCCCTCCCCTTTTATCGGTAAAGCGCATGAGTTTTGGATCCGAGAAGTGGACTTCCTCGATCGCATCGTTTGGGAATAGATCCGAGTAATCCCTCACAATCAGCACATTATCCATGGTCGCCTTACCCTTATCCCGGGTATCCATGGCATAGGTGGCATAACCGGAACAACCCTGCTTAAAATAGTGTTTGGCCCTCACTACTGAGCACAAAATCGGCCCACGCTGAAAAGCATGTACATATATTTTAACATCTCATTTTGTTTTCATTTGTTAACCATCAATTGAGACCACTTGGTTATTGGTTTATTGAATGTAGTTTATATATTGGTTGTTATTGATTTATTTTTCTAGGTTTAATAATGGAAAATAGTCAAATTGACATAGACATGGATGGTGAAAGTGAGGTCGTCGAGCAAAAGAAAATGCTGGTAGTTAGAGACAAAAGGACATCAGATGCTTGGCGCAACTACACAAATGTTAGAGATCCAAAGACGGGCAAGGTTGTAAATGCGCAATGCAAACACTGTTCCACCCAAAAATGATGTTGAAGATGCTATGGAAAAATCTGAATTGGAGGAATATCTTGATGCTCCGCCTGAAAAAATGAATAATGAAACATTTGAAATTTTGTAGTGGTGGAGTGAGAAATGCACAACATACAAGGTGTTGGCATCAATGACAAAGGACATTCTAGCCATTCTGGTTTCTACGGTTGCTAGTGAGTCCACTTTTAGTACATCTGGTCGTTTGGTTGATGACTTTCATAGTAATATGCTTCAAAGACAGTGGAAGCTTTGATATGTACTCAAATTGGTTGATGGCATCAAATGTTTGTATTGACCTTGAACAATTATTGGAAGATGTGGAAAAATACGAGGAAAGTAAGTTACACCATTATTTATTAACTTATTTTATGTTTATTGTATAATATTTATTATTCTAATTTGATTTTTTATGCTTAATTTCATTACAGAAATCAATCACAATATGGAAGTCTCTTACAAGGGAAGTTGTTGATGTTTTTGCTATTGTTGGTTGTTGTTTTTGCTATTGTAGATTGTTATTGTTATTGTTTTGAATGTTGTTTTTGTTGTTTTGTTGTTTTGTGTTGTTTTGGTGTTATGAGGATGCTTATGTTTTGTTGTTTTGTTATTTATTGCTAACTTTTTTTATTGTTGGCAATTGAAATGATTTTAGTTTGTAATTTGTCAAATTGTCATTTTTACTTGCTAAATTCCACTTGTTGCTTTTTTGCTGTTTTGAAATCAAGTTTTTTCTCATTGTTTTAGTTTTATGTCTTAAACACCTATTTTTTTTTATAAAGGTTAGTTTCAATATGTATAAAATAAAATAAATTAATATTCAAGAAATCAGGTACTCAAAACCGGAACCAGAACCAGTCTTAGCAGTTCTGGGAGCGGATCCAAATTTCTAGAAACCGGTGCAAGCGGTTACGGTTCCAATACAAATAATTTCAACCGCTAGTTCTGGGAGTGGTTCTGATTCGAGCTAATGTGTTCCCACTTATGTTCATCTCTAGCTATCATTGTCAATGTTTAGATTTTGAGATAAAACTGGATATTTTTATGGATAAGCTTATCAAGAGTCTCATTTTTGGGACTTTCTTAATTATTTATCTCATTATTTTTACGTTTTCACTAACATATAGATGTGTATGGGCATAATTTCCAAATATTATATATGATATAATTGATGGGTTTTATACATACAATCCTATGTGTGCATGCAACCCTAGTTACGAATCTATGTTTTCACTATTAGATACACACCATTATGAACACAAAAGAAACCTAACATGCTCCTAGGTAATTTCGAAAATTATAGAGGAGAATGAATTACATACCTCTTGTTGTTATACTGTAATAACAACTTGTTTCTAGAATCTTCTTGTCCTTGAAAGCAAGTACCACAAGTGTAGTACCTCTAATGGCTCACAAACACCAAGAGGAAA